CACAACCACTTTATTAAACAAGACGCCGGCTTAGGCGTACACTCGTGCTCTAGGGTTGTGCTCTATAGGGATTTAATAGCATTACTTGAGGGACACTATCCTGGCGCGTTGTGGGAACCTATAGCGTAAGACAAGGCTTTGTGATTACCCCGGGCCTGGGAGGACTTACACGACAAAAATATATCACACAAGTATAAAATAATACATTTACATTATTATCACAATTCACAAATGCCGATTATATAGGTAGCCTATAATATAGCCTATAAGCCGTGACATAAATTATTACTGTGTCAATGCTTCTATATTAGGGACCTTAAGCATGTAGGACGGCAACACGACGACGACGTGGCTGGAATACTCCTTTAAATAAATGTTATGATAAAGCGTTGTTCTATATTATCAACTGCATGTACCAATTTAACGAGATATAAGACGTCGAAAACATTAGGCACAATTCTATAGAGCCTAATTCGAGGTAGCGCTCACTGCGTCCTGAAATGCAGACGTTCTGCATAGGACGTAACAAACGACGTTTTGCCGTCGTAAATAGAACGTAGATCACGTCTAAAACTCCCATAGGTATTTTATTATTCATTTCTTTTCAATGAAGCATTGTATTGATAGCTGCAGTGTTTTAGTTCCGACGAAAGTTTTCAAAAAACTAGTTGCAATAGTATTGATTCGTATTGTTCGTAATGTCAGTCGAAGGTTCAAACATTTATTAACAGGTATTAATAGGTATAATTTATATGCATTTGTACGTTTAACACTGCGAAAACATCGATCATATATTTTGCTTCATATAGAAATTTAAAAATATACATCGCACCAAGGAATATGAATGTAAATGTTGCACCGTAGTAATGTCTTATGTGCATATATATTTTGCATCCTTCGTATTGTTTGTAAAATGTGGTTTGTATTGTCGGATAATTATACCTCGTAATATACATCGCACCATGCAATCAATATGCATGTAAATGTTGCACCGTAGTACTAATGTCTTCTGTGCATATATACCTTTGCGGTATTGTTTGTAAAATGTGGCTTGTATTGTCGGATAATTACATTTCGTCATACATTACTGGGTCAAGTGCGCAATGTATTCTGGGTCATCGAGGTCCAAAACGCGACCGACACACGACGAAACCTGGACTCATGCTCTCCTAGAGCACGAGTAATAAATTTTGCAAAAAGATTTACAAAATGATATTACAATGAAACCATCTACATTTACGGCAAGTTAATCGAGGTAGGTCATTTGAAATTGATTAATAAATATGGTTTAGTAGGTTTAGCTACATCAACTTAATCTCCATAGTATAAATTATCTTAAATTAAAATCGATAGGAGGAAGCGTTGAAATCACTTGGCGAGACAAAATATGTTTTTGAAAAAAGCAAACAAAATAAAAGTATAATCGCGAAGTTAACGCATAATATGAAAATGATCGCTACGCAATTCTGATAACACAGAGGACAGTCAAGTATAAGTTGTGTACGAGAGGGGAAAATAAGGTATATAATCTATTTTACTATCGGTATTAACGAATTTAAAGTTAGGGAGTTGAAATCGAGGCTAAGGGGCCGATTACATGGACCGGGCTAGCCCACTTTGCCGGGCTAAAATTTAGCAAACGATTATATGAGTAATCTTTGCCGGGCTGAAATTTAGCAAACAAAGAAAATTTAGCAAACGCAGACGCCATTGTTGTTTATGCATGTGTGTAACACTGTGCATGCTTTATCTATAAAAAAGTCTTAAAAAAATTCTAACATTGAGATTTTTTTCTATTTACAAAAACGTTATTTTTGCTTATTAAAAAATTCCCCCATGTTAGAATTTTTTTTAAAACTTTTTCATAGATAAATAATCTATAGCGTAAACGTTTAATGCAAAAAAAATTGGGGGTCACCGAACTCGTTTGTGATATAAACACGATAAAACCTTGTTTGGCGGCCATTTTGAAACGTCTCTGTTTCCATGGTAACGGGTGCCCGGCAAAGGTTCTGAGAATATTTCCGCTCTACATATGTTTCCTGCAAAGCATATCAATTTTTAGCCTTATAGTGAAATATTTAGGTGCTTAATATCCCTGTTTAAAATGAGCCCAAAAAAAAGTTCAAGAAACTGTATCGAGCCACCTTAAGTGCTACTTTAAATTGCCGATGTCGGACGAAAACCTTGAATGGTGGCCTGTTGTGTTTGACATATGACCTCGAGTGCATGACTTAATTATCGCTTGTTTGCATGTTGTGCGTTTGTGTATATGCACCAGGGATTTATATAAAGTTTCAATGCTAACTAATTTGTGCAGTGATTTGAGCAGTGTCAAAAGATTGAAGACAGAAGTTTTGTGCATGCGTTATCATGCGATATTAATTTCATCATTTGTTATCAACACATAAAACATAATTATGTAAGTATGTGTGTAATATACGACAGTATTATTGCATAGTTTGGCAGCACGGAATCAGTCAATTAAGCTCTTAGTCAAATTTTAAATTGCAGCATCAGTGCATGTGTTTCGACAGGCACACTTCTCTGAGACATAAATTTTACTATTTAAAATTTAACACAAATTTGAAGATCCTGTCCATCGAAATCAAAAAGCGCATGGATATGAGCGAGTTTAAAATTTGTGTTCTACGCGTAAAAAACGCGCACGACCACAATTCCTTGCGCTAAATAAAATTTAGTTCAGAACTCCCTCTCTGCACAAATTAGACTGCTGCTACGCTCGCTCGCTTCAGGCTCGCTCGCTCCGCAGCAATAACACATGGAAGTTAAATTATCATTAACATTCACATTTGAAAAGAATTATATCACAACCGTAAAAATTATAGTTTCTTATAGATAATCAATGTTAGGTGATACCTACGTTTTCCAATCACTGTATTGAATAATTTTGTCACAAGCATAGTATATAAATCATATAAGACGTTTTAACAACAGTTTTATTTAGGAATAGTTCAATTCTTGGTATTGGTGTTTGTCTATTTCGTTTGGTTTCTTTCTACTTCATCGTGGATATGCATGACCTCTTTCTTACTTCCACCCCGGATGCACTGGGCCTGGAGTAGGAATATACTGATCTAAAAATATACACATACGTGATACATATATAGAAAAACCTCAATTTGATTTGAATTTAATAGTAGGAGATCTTTTTTCCAAATAACAGAACTTACCACAATCTGGGAATTTTGGTCTCAACATGACATTAGCAATTTTACAAGCCTCGGCGTATTTGACGTATTCTGCACAATATATTTTTGGAAAAGGGGAACTTCCACCACATATTTTATTGACACAATCTTGAAAATACGAGTTCACCCCGACGTTGCCATTGCATGTCAAGAATGGATCTTTTTTTAGAGCCCCGCATTTATCCTGCGCTAACATATTCAGAGAGGTGCTGCAACTTGGTACATTTTCTACAATTAGATAATTTCATTGCATTTCTTCGAACAGATTTGATACAAGGGAAGGATCATGATCGAAAAACAAAAACATGTAGTGATGACAAGACCATGGGCTAGTTGTATAAATTTGTTAAGTAGACTTTTTTAATTTTTTACAATCAATCAACTAATGTTCATTAATGTTCGATTCTTGATCAGCTCTTCCTTCAATTCTTCGTCGTTACTGTCGTGTCTTCTTTGTCTGTTCTTGTCTTGTTGAGTTTCTCAACGTTTCATATGACTTTTACTCCGTTGGTCCACTGAAGTTTCTGGTGTTGTTCACTCCCTCATGATAGTGACGGTTGAGTGACACTTGCACACATCATCAACCCGAGTGGGATGATCCTTATCCAGCCAATCAGCGTTGTAAGTGTGAACTGTTGGTTGGTCTTAGAAGCTCGCTCCAGCTATCATATATTATTTATTTGTGGAGTTGACCACAGCTTTGCAGCTGCCTAAAGCACCTTTATTTTTAAGCTTAAATTTTGGATATTAAGATATGTAACTTTACAGGTTTACCTGCACCCACTGTTGACAGTTCGGACAGAATAATTGACACTAAGCTATTACATGCAAAAGTAATTGATATTTTCGAAAGGCCAAAAATTATATTTACTCATGCATCTTGTGGCAATAATCAAATTACTCACTCCATACCAGTTGATATTTCCTGCTTTTACAACTATTATAATATGCAGATACTGAACATAATAAACCATTCCGTAACAAATTACACTCATTTTGCATGATAATTACATCCCAGTTGACTAGGACTAACGTAGTTAATACACCTAGTTAACGCACCTAGTTAATACATACCAAGTTAATACACCTAGTTAATACACCTAGTTAATACACCTAGTTAATACACTTCGTTAATACACCTAGTTAACGCACCTAGTTAATACATACCAAGTTAATACACCTAGTTAATACACCTAGTTAATACACCTAGTTAATACACTTCGTTAATACACCTAGTTAACGCACCTAGTTAATACATACCAAGTTAATACACCTAGTTAATACACCTAGTTAATACTATACACTTAATGTATGCTCCCGAGGGAAATAGTGAGTTTTGTTTTCCCAAGAGTCTGAATGTTTCCCGAGACGAAGTCGAGGGAAACATTCAGACTCGAGGGAAAACAAAACTCACTATTTCCCGAGGGAACGTACATTAAGTGCTTTGTTATATAGGAACAAAAGCATACATGTTACACAACAATTTTATATAAAACACTTTACCATCAACAATTAAGCCTATGTGACCCGACTTTATAATGTAACAAACAAGCGTTCTCAAAACCTTCGCATGCAGCCAACGATTAAATTAAATTACAAACAATATTTTCGCTTTGAAATGTCATTTTTTGTAGAAGTTAATGGTCACATTTGCTCCGGCAAAAGCCCCAGAATTAAAATTGACCGTTTCTTGGCTGTGGGAGGCAAAATTCTGAGTCAATATAGGTGACTGTGAGCTGTTTGTAGTTTGCTTACAAACAATTTCTTCTGCTTCGTTTCGAGCTTCGTTTACAAGTACAATTTCACTTGAAGTACTAGCTTCTGTAAAACAAGCGCTACTGAGCGAATGTGAAATTGTTTTTGTTTCATCTCTGAGAGTCGTCTTGAATACGAGCGAATGCTACTCTCAGACTTATGCCCAGAGACACGCATAATATGACGAGCTTCAAAATTACAGTCGTCAAGTAAAGAGACAGCTGTCGCCCTAATACAATGATTAGTATATGTTTGTGAAAGTTCCAAATCCTTGGAAATCCGGCTCATTAAAGTTCCTAAAGTGTTTTTACCGACAGGAACATTACAGTACCAAACATCGGAGGCTTCAGTAAAATGTTCCTTCGATTTAGGCTTCTGCCATAAACAAAACAGTTCAGGGTGTAGCTTTGCTAAATACAGTTCAAATGCCTTCACTGGACACAATGGGCCGTCTTGTTCGTACATACGACCTTCGCCAGTGGAATCGTCGGCGTTGTCATGGCCTCTGTGGTTTTTGTCTAGCTCGTCTGTCGCCTGATAAACAAACTTTTTTCCTGTCGCGTCAGTCTTTATGGCGAACGACTGCTTCGTGAAAAGTCGAAGGTTTTCTCTTCCTCTACGTATTAGATGAAACATGATGTTGAACCAAACAAATCTTTGAAGACTTTTCGGGTCTGGCACAGCAGGATTATAGGACAACTGTATTTTTTGGAGATCCTCGCGCGAAATGGAGTTGTGATGTTCGACATTGCCAAAACCTTGCCGTTTCAGTTCAACAATTGCTGCTTCATAAACTTGATTTGATTTAGCAAATTCTTGATCACTAATGATGTTGATATTCCTTTTAAGTAGAAAATGCCTCTGAAGACCAAACCTCAAACCCATAAGAGCAGATTTTTTGTAGTTTTCGCCATTCTTTTTCCTGGCATTTGGGTAAAAAGCAGCTAAAAGCTTGTCGAGTTCTTCTTTCGACAGTCCTTCAATGTAATCAAGGTCTCTCGGTGGAGATTCGTCCGAAGAAATTTCGTTGCAAAATGCTATAAAGGTGGCCACAGCATTTTTTGTTGACTTCCGAGTGTTTTCTGAATCCTTTTTTTCTATTAAAAGTTGAATTTCATCGCTTGACAAGTTTGAGAAACGTTGTTTTTTTGTTTTCGGCTCCATAACTGTTTTATTTGCTATGAAGCGGGCAACAATTTTTCACTTGTTTCCCTGGCGGGAAACATTGCATTTATTTAAAGTCATGTGACTACGAATGAACCAATCACAATCAAAATATACAACACCTATATAACAAACCTAGTTAATACACCTAGTTAATACACCTAGTTAAATACACCTAGTTATTACGCCTAGTTGATACACCTAGTTAATACACCTAGTTAAATACACCTAGTTATTACACCTAGTTAATACACCTAGTTAATACACCTAGTTAATACACCTAGTTAATACACGAATACACGTCAACAGCAGACAATTACTTAACAAGACTTTACTTAAAATACTATATCCTGTTGGGCCTAGACATGGTTATTTGCCAATGGAATAGATAATAACGACAAAATAGGATTGTACATCATAGTATATAATATGCATCATGAATGCTGATCAAGATGATCGACGAAGCACACTTACGGCTGCTCGCCTGCATCGCAACACCAGCCAAGATTACGATACTGAGTATGACTTTGAACATCTTTTAAAACTTATAATTATTGCTGCCTCTATAATGTAATAAAATATTTAGAATAAAAAAATCGTAGTATATAAGACGAACATATTTAAGCAACACGGAGAGGTAGAAAGAGGGCAGGCAACAAAATTGTTACTCGTGTACTCTCTACGATAAGAAAGCCTTTGCTGCTATTATTAGTTGGCTGACAAAGGTTATCTCATTATAATCACCAATGGTTACGAGTTGCCTAGGATATATTAAAGTTAGTCATGCTTTTAGCAGATGAAAATCATGATGTTCGAAACAGTTTAGGTATATATTGGTGGATGGTTATTCACGGACATATTACATAAGGGTTCAGCTACCGTGGGAAGTGGGAGTTTATAATTTCCAATTTAATCAGCTTACCGACTTTCTGTATTTTGATGCTGGCGTCATAGGAATCCCACATATAGGGAGAACTTATGGTCTAGCGCACTGGCGAAGACCCCCGGCGAAGTACCTAGCACATGTCATTGAACTGGCGCATGTAGCTACATATATAGTTTTTAATCGCGATCCACACGTAACAGCCATGTGGGATTTTAAGATCGAGCTTAATATATTATGTTATATTATGCGCAAATTAGTATATTTATAATCAGACACTTACTGTAAAATAAAGATAAAAGGAATTGTCCTGTTTTTAGACGTACGCGTTGTTTTGCAAACCGGTTTAGGTAACTTTGTCTTCCGAGACAGATCTGGCAATCCAAAGACAAATGGTAAAGACCGATATTGGGCCAATGCTTAAATAGGCGCGCTTTAGTTTGTATCTGGATTTTTTCACACAATCAGGAAAAACTACAGATTAAATGCATTCGAATTTTGTACATAAATTTGTGACATGTTTGCCTTCGAGGGAAATGTAGACAACGCAATTTTATCCAGTCTATGCAAATAGAAACCATTTTGAAACACAACAAACGCTTGAACATTTGAATTCCCCTCAAAGAGGGGGGGCAAGGGTATTTTCGTGATCTGTGATTAGCATTATTTCTGTATTGTGATGCGTGATTTAAGAAAATACCATTCCGTGAATCGTGATTAAAATGCGTTCCGTGACTCGTGAAGACCTAAAACGCTGGCAAAGACGTCTTATTTCCCCCAATATTTTACCAATATTTATAATTTTTTAGATTAAATACTTGTCCCCAACTAAACTAAAGGTTAAATAATCAAAACAGTAGCTTTCCGCCTAATTTCCCAGTCTTTCCGCTGCAAAGTGGTGAAAATGAAATGATCTTCTTCGTGATTCGTGAAATCTTAAAAACACCTTTGTGATTTCGCGACAAGACCCCCCTTGCCCCCCCTCCTCAAAAGTCCGCAGAAAATCTGCACTGAAAAAATCTGCAGCACTTTATTGTCTAACACTTTGGAATTCGTGTTTTTATTCAAAACTTTTGTTACGTGATACCTTATCGCTTATATTAGCGGGTAACATGCATGTATAATGTGTTACATTCGGTAAATGTTCCGAGGCTGCGTTAGTGCTCATCGTAATCTTCAATCGCGTCAACGCGCCATACGCAACCACATCTTCAAACAGCGAAATAGCAGCGATATTATCCAAAATCCACATGTATTAAATATATTCTTACCTCAATTAAACCTAATCTTAATCAAACGGCATTAAAAGAATGGTTTATTCGTGCCTGGTTGAGATATTGCCGTATCATGTGAGAAAAATCAAATCGCGCAACAAAAATTGGCGTGCATGAGTGTTTGTTATGATTTGAAAGCGTGAGTGTCTGCATGTTATGATTCGAAAGCGGATTCTCTACAATTATACGTATCTGATTAATCTTGCCGTTAAGGTACATTTACACTAAACAAGCTTTGCGGATCGATTAAACAATATACAAGTATCATTTAATCACCACTGTGTTTGTAAATAAGATTTTACTCATTACAGACGAGTTCCTCATTTCCCGTCTGACAGGCAGACATGAGCAAAGAAACAGCACGCGCGAGACAATAGGTTGCATAACTTGTGGTCCCACGCAGCGGCGTTGTCAATCTTACGACGCCTTCAAATGAGGCATTTTCATGACTTCTCGATGACATGAAAGCATGCAGCTGCAAAGTGCAGGGCCGCCAAGAGGGGAGGGAGAATACAGAGAGAATTGAAACGTTTGTATGATCATTTTCAAGTCCTAGAAGCATAATTAATGGTGTCGTATATATATCCATTATACGATGTAATGTAATATAATTTACCAGTAATATACAAGCTTCATGCATTGGTATAAATCTACTCACGCGATTTATCAAAATCAATCACGTGGTTTCTTGTTGCCTGGCGACAGATCATGGGAATCATAGTTTATTCGCAATAATCCATGAAAATCGTGGTTTATTTAAAAATGACAGCATGCTTGGATCTTAAATGCAGCAATCAATGAACTCAGATTGTATATTAAAAGTGTTAGATTTATGTTCGTGTTTGGTTTACAAATAAACGCACTTATACCGACCATACAATGAACTCGAAATTTCAATATTGAAATTTCGCGTTTATTGCATGGTCAGCGCGTGCGTTGTTTTTTAACAAAACACTCACAACAGTTTCTATACAACCCTTAAGTAATGGATGTCGTTCAGTTGAACGTTTGAGACCTTGAGACCTTTCTTCCGAGGATAAAAAGACTAGGGAGCTGTTGAATAAAATTTAGTTAGTAATCCATCATTGTATAAAATAAAGAGAAACGCTCGAACATATATACTTTTAGGAAGAAGAATTCTGCATATAAACTATTTTATTTTGACGGCAATGCGTACACGATATTCAGAACCAGAGAATCTTATCTATCTATAGACAGGCATGTATGTTGTTTATTTGGTCCCGGATTATTTATTCTGGAGTAGTTTTCAGGTCCAAATTCTTTCATGAAATTTTAGTAGATCATATAGGCATTTGAAAGCGCTAAGTATGCGCGTGGGTTTATTGCAAGACGGTGCTTCAGTCGGAAAGTTCAATCACACCCCAAGCCGGGTAAATAATTATTAGCTAAGTCTCGTCTAAGTCAATAAACGTTTTTATGTAGAAACGAGATAAAGTAAATATCACTTTGATTTTGTGTCATAGCGTCAATTATCCTTCCATTAGGCAAGGTAAATAAGGCTTTTATCGCAAAAATAATACTCAAGTTGATATGGACGAAAACCATGCTTGCATTAATTAACATCCATGACATATTTTGGTCAGTTAAAATTGCTCTGGTTTAAAGCCTGGCGCACTCTGTTACTAACTTAGCACGCCCAATCGCCCACATGTCACTCCTGACAATTGTCACCTATACATAATTCCTAGTCTGCAGGGAAAATACTGAGATATTCTGTCGTTCGTCACGAATTGACCAAGAATGACAAAATATCCCCACAGAATAGGAACACGTGTAGGTGACAATTGTCATGAGTGACATGTGTACCTATATTGCCTCGACAAACCGCTTCGTATTGAAAAGCGTTTTCAAATCTGCATGAATTGCGGTTTTCCAATCTTCACGGTAATACATAGGCACAGGAACGAATTCAAAGTTGGGGGATTGAATTCGAAGTGTAGTGCATGAATGAACCTTCATTTTGTAGCATTATGTTTGTTTCCAATCAATTTATCCACACACGTAACGAAGCCTCCTCTGGTAAAATAGGTATTGTTATATAGCTGCTGTGTATTTTAAATGTGATTGGTTCATCCGCAGTCACATGACTTTAAATAAATGCAATGTTTCCCGCCAGAAAAACAAGTGAAAAATTGTTGCCCGCTTCTTGTCATAACAAAGTAAAGTGGTTTTTTTTTAATGAAATCGTTTTGTAACATGTATGTTTTTGTTCCTATATAACACTTAATGTACACTACCTCGCGAAATAGTGAGTTTTGTTTTCCCTCGAGTCTCAATGTTTCCCTCGACGAATCGTCTCGGGAAACATTCAGACTCTTGGGAGAACAAAACTCACTATTTCCCTCCGGAGCATACATTAAGTGTATAATATATACAATTATTGTTAATCGATAAAAAGTAAGGAAATAACATAAAATTTCGTCATATCTCATAACTATAAAATGAGGTATTCGAATCAAGCATAGGCTTGACACACAACGCCCACGCCACATCCTATTTTACCATGGGTTAAAATTAAACCTCCTAAAACAAATTCCTCAGCA